CTCCATGTCACTCTGGGACGAACCATTTGTCGTTTCCCATTAGGATTCCACTCGAGTGATGGCCTGCATTGCGTGCAATGTCATCCTACTGCCTCCTCACTGTATGCCCTATCCATGTCCATTTTCTCCCAAATATTTGTTGAACAATAGGTTATTGATTAGTTTGTTCTCATAATAACACATTAGAAATTTGTAAATGCATAAGCGAACATGATTGATTCTCACAATTCCATCTTGTGTTAATTGTAGATGTGGTTACTTGACTTAAACACTCAACATTCATCTTCATGAATCTTAGATCACAGTAGAAATCTGATGCTCTCGGCATAATAAATAAGATAAGAGATCCAGATTTTCAACACTAAAGTCAAGAGGATCAGTGCTTCTGTATATTTCAGAGACTTGGCGCCCAACGGCTTCCTTCACTGGCTTGATATTGCAGGTGAGATGGTAGGCCAGGAAGGATTGAGAACAAGAAACCTTGGCTACCAGTAAATCGACTAAGATCCTATGACCCAACAAATATATACCAATGGAAATGGGGATGGACTGGTGGATGGATACACTGTCTGTTTGTCTGTTTTCGACATAGAACTTTGCACCGATATGCAGCAGTTCAAGTCGCCACACTCCACTCCTTGCAACACACACAGCAAGAAAAGAAAGTGGAAGAAATGCAAAATATACACAGTAGACAAGGATATGAGACAAAAGGAATAGTAATAACGAAGAACAATATAGTTTAATTGGAAATCATAAGTCACAAGTAGTGGATGCATCTCCACCGCCATATCACTAACTGTCTCCAACCATTAGTTTCTACCGTCCCGATAACCCTAACCAGGAAGTTTACGTCCTCCTATATGGCTTAAACTAACTATTGTGGATTTCATTGACTGGTGCTATGTTTTGGTTTGACGGTCGCTAGCTCTTTTCCAGCCTGCCCCATGTCAGCTAACATTGCCCGTCGAGGAAGGAGATGACTAGGCATACGTAACACATGTCCTAACCATCTCAGTCGACGTAACTTCACAGCCTCGTCGTCGATTGATTCCCCTCCTCCTCCTCTAGCACTCGACCAATGCCTAACCTCAATATTACTCACCTTATTATACCACTTCACACAGGAGATAGAAGGCAGACGCCTATGATTGAAGGCACCTAATGTTTTCATGTCTTCCACTCCCAATGGCCAGGTCTCACAGTCATAAAGGAGGACAGAGCAGTACACCCGTCGTTTGGTTGATAGCCGGATATCACGTATACGCTAGAGACGGCGTAAAGTGGCATATGTGAAACGAGCCTTCTGTATCCGTGCTGAGATTACGTCAGAGACCAACCCGTTGGTGCAGACTGATGCAACTTCTCAAATAAGTGAAGGATGGATACACCCTCTAAGGAGGGACAGTTGAGTGACACCACACGCCGTGCTGCAGACCGTCGAGTGTTCTTTTTTTGTATTAATGTTCGAAATACTAAAAGGGATATTTGAAGAATATATTAGTTAAGTGAACCTTTAGTGTGGAACTCATATTTTACAATAAGATCTACACACTAAATAATAGTTGATCCTCAATGAGAATTGTTATCTTCATCGGTGTAACATGATATGAGTTTCAGGTTCTTAAGTGCCTCTCTCTCCCCCTATGCATATATATATATATATATATATATATCTGATATCTCAAATTACAAGTGAACAATCGATTCTAGTTGCTATGACAACTATGCATGGTTTCGTTTTGTTTACTGTAAACTCTATGCCGTCTATTATTTAGTACAAATTATTATTATTTATTTGTGTTTGTATAAATCGATGAAATCGATTGTGAATTTAGCTTGCGTTCATTTATTATAGTGAATTCAATAGACAATTAGACGGGAATTCTTCACCATCATACTATACCTGGGCTTTATGGTTTAAGTGTGAACACTTTTAAAGGATATTTAATTTAAAATAGTAGAATTCAGTTATACGGCTGACATGTCTGTCTGTCTGTCTGTTTTCGACATAGAACTTTGCACAAATGTGCGGAAGTTCAAGTCGCCACATTCCGTGTAGCACACGAAGCAAGAGAAGAAAGTACAAGAAAAGCATAATAGAAACAGTGAGCAGAGGTGTGAGACAAAGGAGTTATAAAGAAATACAAAACAGTTTCATTGAAGATCATAAGTCACAGGGAGTGGATGCATCTGCGCCACTGATTTTGAGCCATGTCACCAATTGTTTCCAACCATAGATTTTTACCGTCCCGAGGACCCCAACCAGTCAGGAAGTCTACACCTTCCTACGTGGCTTAGACCAACTGTTGTGGATTTCATTGACTGGTAAGGCCAAGTTTTTGTTTGACCGCCGCTAGCTTTTTTCCAGCCTGACCCTATATCCGCTAACATTGCTCTTCGGTCGAGGGAGGCGATGGCTTGGCATACGTAACACATGTCCTAACCATCTCAGTCTTTGTAGCTTCACGACTTCGTCGATTGATTTCCCCTGTTTACCTAGAACTCTACGCCTAACCTCAATGTTGCTCACCTTATTATGCCACTTTACACGGGAAATAGAACGCAGGCACCTATGATCAAAGACAGCTAGTCTTTTCATGTCTTCCACTCTCAGTGGCCAGGTCTCACAACCATAAAGGAGGACGGAGCGGACTGATGAGCAGTACACCCGCCCTTTGGTCGATAGTCGAACATTTCGTCTACGCCAGAGTCGGCGTAAACTGGCAAATGCGAAACGAGCCCCTTGTATTCGTGCTGAGATTTCGTCAGAGATCAACCCGTTGGCACTGGCTGATGGTACTTCCCAAATAAGTGAAGCGGTCAACGTGCTCTACCACTTCACTTCCTATTTTTAAACTAGGCGTCGATGTAGTCCAGTCCTGTAACATCATCTTGCATTTGGCGGGAGCGAATCGCATGCCAAACATTCGTAGATTGCGGCTCAAGGTGTTTAGAAGACTCTGCATTTCGTCAGCGTCTTCGCCTAGAAGGACTATATCGTCTGCATATTCCAAGTCAACGAGATTATTCCCCGGTAGCAAGTCAATTCCTGAGTCACTGAAGTCACCTAGGGTTAAGTCCATTAACACATCTATGATGAAGTTGAATAGAAAAGGAGATAATGGGCATCCTTGACGGACACCACTGGTCGTCATCAGTTCAGATGACAGCTCACCGTAAGCCCTCACCTGGCTGTATGAGTACGAATAGAGTGCCTTAATCAGTGCAATATATTTTCTTGGAATTCCCTTTACAGCCAAGCATCTCCAGAGAACTTCCCGATCGACAGAGTCGAATGCTGCCTTTAGGTCAAGAAATATAATGACTGTTGGACGCCGGTAGGAATTCCTATGTTCTAGAATCTGTCGGAGGGTGAAGATATGATCAATACACCCTCTTCCTGGTCTAAAGCCTGCCTGGCTCTCTCGTGTTTGTGCTTCCCGAGCACCAATCAGTCTACGTCCCGAGCACCACTCAGTCTACGCTGACATGTATGAGGTTATAAGCCACACGACTGTTTAGAATATAGATTTTTGTAGGGATCTTCGTTGCTTTCAGTGTAGATTTCCATGCGAACGAACATCAGCTAGAGGTAATTGAAAACCAAGAAACATTTGGCTGCTGTTTCGTCCTAGTTTGGGCCCCATCGATTCTGTCACCTGAGAAGTACTATGGCGATGCTTCGCTTTGAAGGGAATTGCGAGAAAACACATTGCATTGATCAAGCCACTCACTCTACTCGAACTCATGCAGCCAAGTGTAGGGTTATGGCGAGTTGTCATTTGAAGTGGTGACAACTAGTGATGTCCGTCAGGGATGTCCAGTATCTCCATTTCTATTCAATTTCATCATAGATTTACTAATGGACTTAACCCTAATTGACTTCAGAGACTCGGGGATTGACTTGTTACAAGGTAATAATCTCGTTGACGTAGAATATGCCGATGATATAGTCCTTCCAGGTGAAGACGCCAACAAAATGCAGAGTCTTCTGAACACCTTGAGCTGCAATCTACGGATGTTCGGCGCGCGATTCGCTCCTGTCAAATGTAAGATGATGCAACAAGACCGACTGCACTACATTGCCTCACTCCTAGCTTAGAAATAGGGAGTGAAGTGGTTGGTGGAGCATGTTGACCACTTCACTTATTTGGGAAGTTGCCAACGCCAACGGGTTGATCGCTGACGAAATCTCAGCATGGATACAAAGGGCTAGTTTCGCATATGCCATATGGCGTACATGTAATATCCGGCTGGCTATCGACCAAAGGGCGGGTGTACTGCTCAACAGTCCGCTCCGTCCTCCTTAATCATGACTGTGAGACCTGGCGGTTGAGAGTGGAAGACATGAAAAGGTTGGCAGTCTGTCTTTGATCATAGGTGCAATATTGAGGTTAGGCATCGGTCGAGTGCTAGGTAGGTGGGAGGGGAAATCAATCGACGAGGCTGTGAAGTTACGTTGATTGAGATGGTTAGGACATGTGTTATGTATGCCTAGCCATCATTCGCCTTCCTCGACTGATGGGCAATGTTAGCTGACATAGGGTCAAGTTGGAAAAAAGGAAGTGGTGATCAAACCAAAACGTGGCTTCATCATTCAATGAAATCCACAAAAGTTAGTTTAAGCCAGCTACATAGGAAGATATAGACTTCCTGGTTGGGAGCCTAGGGATGTTGAAAATGAATTCTTGGAAACAGTTGGTGATATGACTCAAAATCGTTCTCAATGGCTAGTGCATATGGATCCACTCCTTGTGACTTATAATAACCAATAAAACTATGTTCTTCGATATTAGCATTCTTTTTGCATCATATCCCTGTTTGCTGTCTCTATTTTGTGTTTCTTTTTACTTTCTTCCTTGGTTTTGTGTGCTGAGGGAAGTGTAGCGACTTGAACTGCTGCACATCGGTGCAAAGTTCTATGTCGAAAACAGGTAGATAGAGTACATTTTCAATAGAATATAATCTCCTTCCTTTGTATGTATTTGTATTCACAGGTTATCTTAACTGTTCGTGATCCAGAAATATGGCTTGCTGGTTGTCGTTCAACTATCCTTCCCAGAGATATTGATCAACCACGTTCATTAGCATTTCATCTACTTCGCCAGTGTATTGGTCTCAGCCAATTTCATGAATTATTTCTTATGAATTGGCGACGTGTATTCGGTGAAGAAATGGATTTTTCCAATGATACATCAATGTTAAATGGTTTTGTTAATTGGAATCAAAGTGTTATTAAAAATATTCCATCTGAACGTTTATTAAAATTTGATATTAGTCAAGGTTGGGAACCATTGTGTAAATTTTTAAATATGCCTATCCCAAATTATCCATTTCCACATGTGAATGAATATAATGAATTAAAGCGTTTAATTAAACTAGAGAAACGTGTTTTAAAATTCATACAATGGATATTACCTGTTCTGGTGATTATTTTCTTAGCTTATATGCTTTATAAACTTGTACTATAACTGTATTATAATGAAGAGAGTAGTTGAAATAAGCGAGTCACTGAGTGACTGAGTCAATGAATGACTATGCAGTATATTGATTTTGTTTTTTTATTATTATTTATTTTATGATATACTTTGTAATAATGTCTTCTTTTGTGTTGTATTCAACATGTTTATATTAGTAGTAGTTGTTGTTGTTGTACAAGTTGATTTTCCCTCGTCCCACAACCCTTCCCCCCTGCCTACTTCTCTCCCTCGCAGACTTCCGTTGTGTTGTGTGTTTAAATTTGTTTGTTTGAGTTGTGCTCACTCTTACTCTCCATTTACTGTTCTTTTGGTAGTAGTGTTAATGTGTGTGTGTGTTTGTCTGTGTATAGTTTGGTTACTTCTCTCAAGGCACGCCTATATTTTCTGCACCTTGCATATATATATTATAGCGGTCAGTTTAAACGATATGTAATAACATACAGCACATTTTTAAGAAACTCGTTTTCTGTTGTCAATACGTCATGTAGGCGTACATGTTGGTGTAGTGTGGTGAGGTGTGCGGAACATCTGCTTTAGTTTAAAAGCATTTGTTATACCTTTTTATTAATGTAACGACAGAAGACAAGGGTCAAGCAGCAACAGATTGTTTATTGAGAAAATCAACAGACATTTATAGATTTTTTTATGTACATGATTATTGGTTATTTATTATTAACAGAGAAATAGCGTCTTCTTCTGATTGGTTGCTTTCTCGCTGAAATTTAGTCTGTGGCCGTTTCTTTGAAGGTCAGACCATATATCTGCTAAAATCGTATCCGCCCACGCAAAGTCCTCTGTGATTGGTTGTTGAGTTAGTTCTTTGTTCTTGGTTTTTTTTCTCCTGACTAGGATTTGGGCTGTAAACATTGACGTAAATTGGTTGGAGGATTTCATCATGAGCGCGCTGACATTAGTTAGAGAACCATTGGAAAACCTGCCAGGGAGTACTGGACAACTGTTTCGTCCTAGTTTTACAAGGCAGGCTAGCTCGTATACCATTAAGCCACTGGGACTCGATTCGATGGCCAGCACATGAATTCTAACTTCTGCCAATTCACGATATAGCGCAACCGCTAGCCAATGTCTTCGGTGGCAAGTATTTGTTCCCACACCCGACCTGCTGCACCCTACTGGTCACGACTTCCAACTGGAACCTCAGGTAACTGCCTACCTGAATAGGGCCAGTCGCCAGTGAGCATCTCATTCATATTCAAGTATTGGTTTGTACGGATTCGGTTGATTGGCTACAGGATTTCATCATCCACCATCGAACTCCGGTGGGTGCGTACTGGTGAAGAGTCCCAAACTAGGACGAAACAGCAGTCCAGTACTCCCAGGTTTCCAATGGTTCTCTAACTAATGTCAGCTCATGATGAAAATCCTGTAACCAATCAACCAAATCCCTACAAACCAATACTTGAATTGACGTAAATTGCTGTGCACCAATTTTGGCTAGCAGACAGCTCTCACCACATTGGTAGTTGGGATAGTGGAGTTGTTGTGTTCATTCATTAAGGTTGTTAATCTCTATCCATCAAACTACGGGTTTTGAATCGTCCTCCACATACTGAGGTTTAGTTTGTCCTACTGCAAGTTGTAGTTGAGTGACATTTCATTGATTTAGCTGGTTAGTGGTTCTTAGGTTCTGTGTGCATATATGTAGATGATAGAGTTTGTGTATTGAGGACGCTTATTCTCTCTCGCTCTTCCACTCTTTGTGTTTCGAGTGGAACTTTAAGAGTTTCAAGGCCCTTGAGGTTCGTGCATCGATTGGCACAGTGGATAGGACACTCGCCGACCATGCATATGGTCCGGAGTTTGATTCCTTGCTGATGCACACCTAGTATCAATTGTCGGCCTGCAAAGTTTGGGCTACCGATATCACATGCTGAAAACTCTATACTTGTACGAAAAATACCGTGTGGAATCAAGCTATAATCCAAATAGAAGAAATAATAGTGGTGTCGCTTTTATGAGATGAGGTTGCTAGCCTCACACCCAACCTTCTATCGCTCCTGGCCTTACTACCGCCTAGGTGCGAGGTTTAGGACCGCGTTGACCGGGAATCGAAAGGAGCTAGCTACCAGATACCGTTGCTTTGACTATTGCATTTATGTTTGCGTGTGTGTTTTCTGAACACTGGACTCTGAATTATTTCAGTGAATGCTATAATTTTTTATAGTTTGTTTGTAAGGATTAGTTTTGTTTTTACGAGTTGATCATGGATCGATATGAGTTAGAAGACCATTGAAAACCCACCAGGGAGTACTGGACAGTCATCTGTTTCATCTTAGTTTGGGAATCATCGGTAGTACGCACCCATTGCCAGGGTTCGAACCCAGGACCTTCCGGTGACAAAAGAAGTCCGGACCCGACTCTATTCAATGGCTAACGCATGAATTCTAACCTCTACCAATTCGTTATTTAGCGCAACTCCAACCAATGTCGTTGGTGGGACATCCATCCTCACACGTGACATCTGGATGGACCTCAATGGTCGCGACTTTTCACTAGAACTCCAGGAAACTCCGTCCTGTAGCCAGCAGTCACTAGCGAGCATCAGATTAATTTTCTGTATTTTGGTTTGTAAGGGTTAGTTTTGTTTCTATGAGTTTCGTTGGGTTCACGCTAAATCATGTACTGGCCATTGAATCAGGTGGGGTCCTAGTGGCTAAATGGTATATGAGCCAGATTGCCTTGTAACTGGAAGGTCCTAGGTTCGAACCCCACTGTGGTGGGTGCTTATTATTTATTATTATTATTGTATCCTTTAGTTCCTAGAGGAACATAGGGCTTCAGCTGCGCACCTCCATTGACTTCGGTTTTTTGACAACTTTTTCACCCTGCTCCAGGTCTGCCCACATGCTTTCATCTCCTCTTCACATGACCTCCTCCAAGTCACCCTTGGACGACCAACTCGCCGCCTCCCTTTCGGGTTCCACTCGAGGGCTTGTCTAGTGATGTCACTTGTTGGTTTCCTCAGCGTATGGCCAATCCATCTCCATTTCTTTCTGCCTATTTGTTTCACAATCGGTTCCTGATTGGTTCGCTCCCAGAGATCCCTGTTGCTGATCTTTTCTGGCCATCTGATCTTGAGTATTGAGCGGAGACAGTTGTTAATGAAGGTTTGAAGTTTGTTTGAGATGCTCTTTATGACTCGCCAAGTCTCTGATCCGTATAGTAGCACTGACTTCACATTGGAGTTGAAAATCCGGATCTTATTTTTGATGCTGAATGCTGTTGACCTCCACACAGATTTGAGAGTAATGAAAGCTTGTCTTGCTTTTCCGATTCTGGCTTTGATGTCCTCGTCAGTTCCGCCTGTAGTTGAGACGATGCTTCCCAGGTAGGTGAAGGAGGTTGTTTCTTTCAGGTTCTTCCCATTTATGCTTATTGTGGTCTGTTGTTGCTGTTGATGTTGGCTAGGAATCTTCATCATCTCTGTTTTATCTATGTTCACGTGAAGTCCTATCTTTGATGCTTCTTCTGCCAACTTGTTACTTTTCATTTGCATATCTTCCAGTTTATGGGAAATCAGACATATATCATCGGCGAAATCCAGATCCTCCAAGTCTTTTGTGTCAGTCCATTTTATGCCTGTTCCCTCGTTGGTTGCCGTTGTCTGTCGCATTATCCAATCAATTGCAATCAGGAAGATCATTGGTGATAGTAGACAGCCTTGCCTCACTCCCGTCCTCACTTCGAAGGCTTCCGTAAGTTTCCCGTTGTGGATTACTTGGCATGCAGCATTGTCGTATAACTGTTGGATGAGGTGTATAATTGTCGATGGGACCCCGTAGTAGCGAAGTAGTTTCCAAATGACCTCTCGATCGACGCTGTCGAAGGCCTTTTCAAAGTCGATGAAGTTGAGATAGAGAGGTGACTGCCATTCCAAGCTTTGTTCAATGATGATCCGTAGAGTGGCGATTTGATCAATACATGATTTGTTTCTCCTGAATCCAGCCTGTTCCGGACGAAGTTTTTCATCTAGGGCTTGTTTGATTCTCTCCAGGATGATGCGACTTAGTATCTTGCTTGGAATGGACAGAAGCATAATTCCCCGCCAGTTTTTACATTGACTTAAGTCTCCTTTCTTTGGAAGTTTGAATAAGTAACTGTTCTTCCAATCCTCGGGTACTTTGCCCTCTTTCCACACCTTCTCCAGTAGTGGTGTCATCAAGTCCGCTGTTGTCTCTGGGTCTATTTTCAAAGCCTCTGCTGGGATTCCATCTGGTCCCGGTGTTTTCCCAGTTTTAAGCATCTTGATTGCATTCAGGACTTCTGATTTCGTCGGGGGGTCAGTGTTCACTGGTAGTTCTGCTTCCGTTGTTGGTATTGCTGGACGTGTTGTAGGTGGCGGACGATTTAGAAGTCTTTTGAAGTGTTCAACCCAGTGCTTTCTCTGTTCCACCTCTTTGGTGATTGACTTTCCATTGTCGTCCTTTATTGGCTTAATCTGTGTCGAACGTTTGCCCGAAAGGTTCCTAGTTGTTTGGTAGAGTGTGGCGAGGTCTCCTTTGCCTGCAGCTTGTTCTGCTTCGTTTGCCATGGTTTCATAATATTTTCTTTTGTCTTCCCTGGCACTTTTCTTCACTCTTTTGTTCAGTGTATTGTAGCTTGCATTCAGCTCCTGTTTTTGTTGCTCGTCGTAGCACTGGATAATCTTTTGCTTCACTGTCCTTCTCTCTTCTATTAGTTTCCAAGTGTCCGTAGTGAGCCACTGTTTGTCCTGTCTCTTTTTTCTGCCTAGAATTTCTATGCAGGTTTGGCTCCACACCGTTTTCAAGTTGTTCCAGTGCTTTTCAACGCCGACCTCTTCGCTAGTGTTGATTTGTGTCTCGGCTTTGTCCTTTATGCTTGCAATGAAGATGTCCTTTGTAGCCTGGTCCTTCAGCTTTTGAGTGTTGAACTTGGCTTGTGGTCTATCTGCAGCTCCTCCTTCTTTGAAAGCTTTTAATTTGATTTGGATTGTCCCTTGTACGAGATAGTGG